GTTCGCCGCCCCCCTCACCCACCCCGCCCACTCCGGGCCTGGCGCACCACCGGCGCCCAGCTGCAGGGGGCAGGGAGCCTGGGCGAGGTCCGGCCTGGGACGCCGGCGGCTGGGCTGGGACTGCGGGTGGGACGCGCGGGCTTCTCTGCGGCCGTCTGGTCTGCAGGGAGATGGCGCCTTGGGTCACCTGGGAGGGTCACCCACCGCTGCCCCAGATGACCTCTGAGTCACGGGGTTCTGGTGCTCTCTGGCCGGCCCCACCCCCTCCCAGAGCTGGGAGCCCAGCGGGCCACCCCGCCAGGGGACACTGAGTCCAGTCGGTGGGAAGGTGGGACCTTGGCACCGGGCCCTGGCGGCTACTGCCCCCACCCCAGCTCCGGGCCTCTGGTCGAAGGTGGTGGCAGCGTGGACCAAGGCGTCCAGCCGGCTGACCCTCCCCGCGCCGGGGCCTGTGCCTGGGCTCTTGCTCTAGCGTAGCGTCCGGCAGGACTGTCCTCGGCCGCCTCAGAGGCTGCCCTTCTGGTGCCAGCTCTGCGGAGCCGGACCGAGGAGGGCCGCTGGCCGCGGCGATGCGGGGAGGTGGGGCTTGGGGCGGCCGAGGGCCCCGCAAGGCGCTCTGGACCCACGGCCTGCAGGTGGCTCGAGACCAGCAGCGAGAGCAGAAACTCACGCGCTCGCTCGGTGACCGCCGCCCGGTGTCCGCGTCCCGGGCTCGCCGCGGCTGACCCGGCAGCCCTGAGCCGGGCGGCCTGGCCCCTGCACCCGCGGCCCTAGCGGGAGAGGAGGGGGGCCCTGTGTGCCGCGCTCCAGCATGGCCAGCGTCTCGGTGGGACCCGAGCAGTCAAAGCGGAGCTGCCCTGGCGGCCAGCTGGAAACTGCCCGGTGGCCTGTGCCGCCCAGCCTCCGGCCCCGCCGCCGCGGCGGAGGACGGAGTGCCAGGCCCTGGGAGGCGTGCTCTGCAGGCGGTGACCTTGCCGGTGTCCTTCAGCAGCGCTTGGAAGGCGGCTGTGCGCGTGAAATGTTTGCTGAGTGGCTGAAAGAGGGCAGGAGGAAGAGGGCAGGAGCGGGGAGGGAGGGGAGGCCGGGCCGGGGGGCGGGGCGGTGACGTCAGAGGCTGCTGCGGCCTGACGGGCCTCGAGCAGAGTCCACTCTGCGTGGGGCCCTGGGCGGCCGTCCGGCGTCGTGAGGGGCCCTGGGAAACCTGGCGCCAGGCGGCCAGGTGTGTGAGGCGCCCACGCCCTCTGTGTCCCAACGTCCTCGAAAAGGACATTCTTCGAGGACAGTGTGTCCACGGCCTCTGGCGTGTGTCCCGGCCCTGACTTGGCCCTCGGTGGACTCGGCAGGCCCAGCACCTGCGTGCCACTGCCCACTCCGCAGTGGGCACAGGCGAGGGCGCCTGTCTCCCGAGACTGTTACGGTAACCAGGGCTGCGGGGGCCCTGGCCGGGGCCACGTGACTCATGGCGGAGTTAGGGCCACCCCAGGATGGGGGTGTCTTTTTGCCTGGCGAAGGCTAATTGTGAAGCCCCCCAACCCCGTCTGCAGGGAGGGAGGCAGGGATCTTTTGGGAATCAGGCGAAAACTCAGCCTCTCGCTCCAGAAACTGCATGTCATTCTTGGGGTCCAAGCTCCCTGCAGCGCACCCCTGGGATGAAGGGGCTCCCCACTCTGCCCCACTGCTCGCAGGCTGGAGTGAGAACAGAAGAGCCTGGAACCGGGGGGGACTCTGCCCCTTTCAGGGGTCAGCAGGGCCGGGGGGCACAGTGGGGACGCAGGCGGGACAGTGACGGGGCACCTCCCCTTGCCTATCCCGCAAAGCAGGCATTCCCGCAGCCTCTGGGCCACCCCCACCCACGCCCAGGTCCCCGCTGGGCTCCCCGAGCGCCTCCGCTCTCTGCGGGCTGCGCTGGAGCCAGGCGGGCAGGCGGGGGCTGCGCGCTGGGCTCGGGCCGGCGGGGCGCGAGGAGGGAGGCCTCGCTGGCTCTCGGGGCTGGGGCTCAGGCGGCTGAGGTCTGCACCGTTACGCGTCTTGCTGCCGCCTGCCCACCTGGGAACACCCACCCCTGCTGGACGGCGGCCGCCTCAGCGTCCGGCGGGTCACTGTGGCCCCTGGGCGCCGGCG